TTCATGTCCTTCTAACTTCAAACGATGCAAAAATGCTCAAAGTTGATTGTTCTTCTAAAAACTCAGCTTGGAATTGATTTTACCTGCTAACGATTTGAAACCACATTCTCTCCTTCTATACACTAAAACCTTCATTCTTATGAACCATCGTTTACCTTCAATGTACGACTTTCTTAGTAGCATATCCATAACTTTTAATTCCTTCTAATTTCTTATAAACTCGTTTAGACATACTCACTGACATGGTCTGCCTTGGTTCTACGTAGATGTAGTGCTATAGGCTGTAAAACGATGCATACGACTTTTTTATATGGTGAAAGAGTCAAATAAATGAATAGGGCCGGTAATTCCTAACTAGCAGACAGTAAATTTCGTAGCAGCACAGTTTCATTCTTTCGAGAAACAATGGAATGTTGAGAATTGCTAACATATATTCTTCGTTTGAGTAATTTAGTTATCATTAAAGTTTATCTTAATGATGTGGGTTAAACGTGGAAATGTAGTGTGTTTCTATCCATTCCGACTTCTACCTCCGTGACTATTGTCTGTTGTGAATACTCACTGATTGTCTTTGGATTTTACAGGAACTCTCATCCTACTTCCAAATATTACGACATTCAAGCCAACCGACGTCGACTGTGGAGAGCTAACAAGTATCATCTTCTGAACTCTGGAGTATCTTTAATTGTGGTGGACAGTACCGAAGAGATAACTTTCAAGTAGCCCGTTATTATCCATAACATAGACATTACTATTTTGTGTTATAACGCATAACTTTTCATATTTCTGTATCGGTGAATCTATTTTTTTAAGATATACGTAGTTTATCATTTCTGTTCACTTGACATTTCTTTGGATCCACTACAGTTTTTAGTTAAATCCTTTGTTCGTTTAGTGTTCAGATTTCTAGGTAATTTGGTAAGTTTTCGTCATAGTCGATAATGATATCTTTATATTGCTGCTATCAGAAATTTCGGTGGGAGAAAAAACAGCAAAAACAGGTGCAGCTTCTGCACGTTTACGATTGACTAGGCGAGACTGAACCAAATTTTTAGTAGATAACTTACCATAAGCCAATGTCAGTATAAGTTTCGCACAGAAGTTTTATATATCTTATTCATCACTTGACATTGAAGTTTTTTAGATCGGCTGAAGTATGTCATAATCTTGCAGTCCATCATCTGGACTTACATACATCTTTGATAATCCTGTGAATCAATCATATCTGTGAAGATTATATAAATAACTTTGTCTTAGAAGTTATTAAATTAAAAATTATGCTTCTTCATATCATTTTCTGTTATTATTATTTGTCCCTTGGGTTCCTAGTGGATCATAGGGCTTCAGTAGCACGTCTCCATTCCACTCTGTCCTCTGCAATCTTTTGAACCTGGCTCCTCCACTGCCCACAAGCTCTCATTTCCTCTTCACATGATCTCCTCCATATCACCCTAGCCTCGGACGCCCAACTCGTCGTTTCCCATCTGGGTTCCACTCGAGTGCCTGGTCTAGCGCGTGATGTCCAAAGTCGGCCTTTTCAGTGTATGCCCAATCCATCTCTACTTCCTTCTGTATATTTGTTGGGTGACAGGTTCTTGGTTGGTTCGTTGCTAGAGTTCCTTTTTGTTTATTCTAAGATGAAATATACCATACTTGAATAGTTAGGGTTCGTATATATTTCAAATTCTTAAAGATTTCTTTAATAAAACTTAAGGATTACATCTATTCAAACATCTACAGTTTCATGCTGATGACTCGTGAAGAATGGAGAGAATCATTTCACCACAAAACTTCTGCATATACCGTAACTGCATGGTCTAAGATTATATCTTATGCCTGGATTTTATCTTAGTATTATCTTCTGAATAGGATCCACGTCATAGTTAATTCAAAATCATTTTCACATCATACTCCTAGTAAGTCTGTGAACATTTATTGAACTGATCAGTTTTGAACAACATCATTACTCGAACTTCATTGTTAAGAAATAAAAGTCTAGATGGGAAGTATTATTACTCTTCGATTATTACCGGGATTCGTGATGCATATTTCTTCCTAGAAATTATGACCGATATTTATAGCTCAGGGTATGTGAGTGAGTTATCTTCTAGGTCAAGATTTTAGTTGTCAAACATTTCAATATCATGCTAAATATGGTCATCAGTTAGTCAGTGATTCACAAGGAAGGACTTCCTCCAGTCAAATGTACTTACATCTAAATGGAAGACCGTTTTGCTAGTCAAACTTTAATAATAATAATAATAATAATAATAATAATAATAATAATAATAATAGCTTTATTCTAAAAGATATTTCAGGAGTACTCTACAGAACTTTCAGCATGTTATACAGCATTAATTGGTCAAAAATAGTGTATATGTATAGATAATAAAATGAAATTTGTAAAAATTACACATAAAAGATAAGAATAATTACTCCATCTACAACGTACTTCAAAAATGAAGAGTTAACCTAGGTAAACAAACACATTAGTAAATAGATTCATAATACTTAAATAGCAGTAAGCTGTGTATTCCTTAATTAGTTTGCTTTCAAAAACTAAAGTTGATTAGTTACTTCATTTCTAATATTTTCTTCCTTCCACAGAATTTGAGCTAAATATGGTATTGTAGAGGTTTTACATTTAGTAGTATATGTATAAAATTTCATATACTTGCTGTTGGTCTTTCCTGACGATCAACACATAGAGAGCTTTGAGTGAAGTAGATGCTGATCGTCTGATAAAATAACTCCTGCCAGATGTTTACATGAGTTAATATATTTACCCACTACTGTTTTAACTAGAAAGTTTAGAGGTACACTACTAGTTCTGCTGATAATCTTCAAAGTTCTATGCAATATCGTATAATCTTTTTTCAGCGCCCAGGAAAGAATTAAGAGGAAAAACAGAAGACAGTAGACGAGATATTAAAGTTTATAAAACACAAGAAAAATTGAGTTATACTAGACACTCCCAGCTTCCTAAGAGAGAAAGTTAGGTGGAAAACTCTTTTGGGAATAAGTAAGATATGGAAAGACCAGGAAAGGTCCAAAGAAAAGAAACGCTGAGATAAGTCACACTTATAACATTCTCTAATGCAAAACCATCGATAGAATAGGAGTCGTAATATCCAACCAATTTAGATAGGTTACGTTCATATCTGAAACTAAAGTTTATAATCTTACATTTTAAAGAATTAAATATAAGACGATTCATGGAGGACCACCGTCTAACAGTAGACAGAAAATCATTCAGTTTGGAACAATCTGCTGAAGAGGAGTAGGTATGGAAATTGTCAGGTCATCAGCATATTTGATAAAGTTGATGCTAACTGGAGATGGCAAGTCATACATAAAGAGGAAAGATAGGGAGAAAGAACGGCACCTTGGAAACACTGGTCTCAGTAAGAATTGAGGTGATGCATTCTCCTCTGTGAACGGTATATTGTTTCCTTTTTGTTATAGACTTATCACTTCAAACTGCAGAGCTCTTTGAATTCAATTACTGGGTAAAGGAAACCACCTACAGGGTAACAGGCATTAGTTGTTATTTGGGTGTTATATTTTCTTTCTGTGTATTTTATTGTCCAACATAGAAACAAACGTACACTTATGTCTATTTGCCAGCAGAAGTAGATCATTTCCACACAGTGAAGGAAATAACTGGAATGTATGAAAACAAGATATTCAATATGGAATACTTACGTAACATTAAGTAAAACGAGTAAAACGATTTCATATGGCCAGTAAGACCGGAAACTAATCAAAGTAAAGGCAATAATAATAATAATAATAATAATATTAATGGCGGTAAAGGAAGGATTATTATTTTTATTATTAGTCCCTTGGGTTCCTAGTGGAACATAGGGCTTCAGTAGCACGCCTCCAGTGACTAAAGGAAGGATAGAAATGTTAAATTAACAAAGAGGGAGAGGAAGCTAATGGTGTGGGGAAATGTCATGGCCATGATAAAAACAGTGACTGTACATACTTCTTTTGTACACACAGATCAGGTTTTAGTTCATGAATAGCTAAAGCAAGGTACATTGGCTGTAGCCAGAGAATGCTTTCTACACGTATACGAGAACATGCTTGATATTATAAAGGTGAAAGTCTGTTAGAAGTTCCATTCAAGAACATTTGATTGATTTCCATCACTCAACAACCCCAGACTATGACTTTGAAATTATTTATCAAATTCGCTCAAACCTCCCACATTTTCTTTGTTTCCAACTCCTTTAAATAGCAGGGGCTTTAGCTATTCATGAACTAAAACCTGATCTGTCTACAAAAGAAGTATGTACAGTCACTGTTTTTTATCATGGCCATGACATTTTCCCACACCATTGGCTTCCCCTCCCCCTTTGTTAATTTAACCTTTCTATCCTTCCTTTATCACCATTATTATTATTATTATTGCCTTTACTATGATTAGTTTCCGGTCTTATTTCACTCAACTGTCTTAATCCTTTTAGAAGACATTGATTTCATTTGGACCAACTTGTCTAGTCCTATTACATAATACTTAAATGATTTACTGCTTCCATCAATTTTTTCACCCCCCTCTGAGCTTTATACTCTATATGTACCACTCCATATATTACATAATCTGTTCGTTATCATTCGTACTTCAATTGTTCTTATAATCACAAATGCCTATGTCATCATGCGCTACATTATTATTGTCATCACACTACAGCGTTTAGTTTTCATCACCGGATATAATTTTTTCAAAATATCATGTATATACAACTGTACAGCTTGAAAATAAATTCGTTGAAAAGAGACTCTCCGCTGAATATCTTGCGCTTCTTCAGTCACCAACATCATCCAAATAATTGCCTACATCAGTCTTGATAATTGTTACTTTGTCCCACCCTATGCTCCAGGTATAAAAAACATATTAAATATAAACTAAAATTTCAGTTGTTTCACATGAAATAGTTTCAAACAACTTGTTGTTCCTTCGTTCATTTAAAGGTTCCAAAGGTGAATCATGCATGCAAATCCTTATGACACCATCCACTAAATTAGGATGGTCATCATCATCATCATCATCATCATCATCATCATCATCATCATCGTCATCATCATCATCATCATCATCATCATCATCATCGTCATCATCATCATCATCATCATCATCATCATCATCATCATCATCATCATCATCATCATCATCATCATCATCATCATCATCATCATCATCATCATCATCATCATCATCATCATCATCATCATCATCATCATCATCATCATCATCATATTTTTCTAACGCCTGAGTTTATTTCATGTCATTTAGAATTGAATTCTGAAACGTATATTCCTTTGCGTTGATAAACTATCCACTTGACATACATGCATCTCATGGAATGTTTGTATGTAACATACCTGATTGCTTATTCGTTCAATTTCGGTTCCCAGATTACGTTCTCTCTTCACCATGCCTTACTAACTATTTTTAACTGTCGTAAGTACATTAGATGTGCTTGCTGAGTTATCTTGTCACACGCTTCTCTTTTGATTTTCTTTTTCTAGATTCTTGTGCTGGTTGGGTGGACTGCCAATACTAAAAACATTCAAGCTCTTCTACTCAACCTCTGCAACAAATAACTTGCAGGTTGGATCGAAAGCTATCAGCAGGTGGTCATTGAAAATGCTTCTAGTTCAGCAGTTGTTCACCAACAAACACTTCAGGAAATGAGTCTAATAAACTGAATATTCGGAGTACTTTATCACATTGTGCTTATTCTGTTTCGACTGATAAGCAAAGTTTCGATCTTCGTAGTTCTTGATGCACACAATGGTACATTAGTTCTTTGAAAGCCATCATATTACCTTTCATTCAATTTTGGTAACATTTGCTTCTCTAGGTAAAATCGGCTCAAGGGTAACATGGTCGAGTCATGAACTACTATGTACCTGCTACGGAAGAAAATATTTTCTCGTTCATTCGCTCTTTTGAGGCAATATAAACATGAAGACGTCAGATAATAGGAGACCAAATGGCTTGTCCATCACAAATACATCAATTTTGCGTTGCATCTGTTATTCAACTAAAATTGTAAATACTTAGCCCACAAAAGTAGGTGCTTTAATCCTTCATCAAGTAGAAGCAGAAGATTATAATGCTGATATAACATGTCTCCAGTATCTCGTCAGAGAGTCATTAGCAGTAGGAAAGATATATATAAGAAGATGAATAAAATGAACAGATTAGAAATGTTTAGACGTGTTGCTGATAAAACTCAAAGCTCTTCTTGCAAATCAGTTTCAGCCCATGAAATTAACAACAAATTTGGGAAAGGGAAACTATACGAAAGATGTACATGAACCAGCCAGAAAATAAATTAATTTCTCCATCTAACGCTGATATAATTATGAGGAGTGTGGTGCCTTCACTCATTCGTCTACACACTCAACATTCTACTAGCATGTCACGGGTTCAAAATCCATTCCAACCAACAAAGGTTCAGGCAGACAGATAGTATGATAAACACTCCCACAGTACACATCTCACATTCCTCGCTGAACCAATGTGCAAGCGGCTGCTCAGTGCCTTTCATTCCTCTTATCTGTTACTGTGATTGTGAGCGAGTTACTGTAATTATCACAGACACATATTTTAACACTTAAATGATATAAAACAAACTAAACAGTTACGGATGAATCAACATCCAAAAGTGTGTTTGATGCCGATTTCAAGAGAATCTGAGGTATTGGGCAGTTGAAGAAAAAGTATGTGGAGTAGTATTTCAACTTGTAACAGAATGCATACGCAAATATATACAGTAGAACGATTCACACACTGCAAGCTATTTCAACAGTACTCAGATGCATTCTATCAAAATAGTCACATACTAGTTCACTCATATACATGTCGAAGAATACGTTTCTACCAAGGCTGTTTAAATTGCCGACATACCCATCAAATTACACAATCAATAGTTCAGTGAAGGGAATCCTTTCGAAAGAATTTCTTTTCAAAAGCTGAATAGCCAGATGAAAATTATAAGGTGGTATTCATCATGGACTGAAGTCAGTTGGTGAACGATTGGTTATGTCAGAGCAATTGACAGCTATCTCATCCTAGTACACTGCTGTTCAACAGTGCACACCCAGAACCCCATCAATGACCAAACGCAGGACCTCCAGATTTCGTGGTGAGGGCATCGCAGTTCAGTCAGTGGACCACAATCCACTAATCCAAGTATTTCCACTCCCGTCAGTTGGTGACCTTGCATGGCATTCATCCCGTGTCATCGTTGAGTGTTTGTCCTCACGTCCTACCGACATTGATTACACCAATGGCCATGAATTCTCATGGAACTTCAGGAAAATTCATTCTTAAATCAGCTCGTGTGTGTGTGTGTGAGCGTTAGAGGAGTTACTGTTATAATAATGACTTGTGTTTAAAAGATGAACTTCATGAGAAGCGATTTAGCCGTTGAAACGAGTAAACTCACCACATCTGAAGCAGACAGTTCATCAGGTTAAGCGAATAAATGTTCACTGGTGTCTATTGTTAATGCCCTATCGAAAACACTTCCCAGTGTTACTGCAAACTTTTATGCTTGAAAGATGTTCCTCTCAGGTTAGCTAAACTTACCTGACAGTTCCCCTTGTCCAACGTCAACAGTTACTACTCGTTTCACTCATACACAAAAATATGTTGTCAACATGCAGTAGATAAACACACTCGAACAACCAGTTTCGTCATGTAAACTCATTTAGTTCTCCTTCCTAGTGCCATCCAGATTTGCACGACGCAGGTCCTATTTACGCAAGACATGGCATTCAATTCCATGCATGAATGGTTGATGGGAGGCAACTGTTGTCTCATCAATACTACTGCATAATTTGATGTCTGTTCAGTTCCAGTGTTCTCAGTATTCCATCCGACAGCTGCAACTATGCTTCATCGTCTTCTGTTCTGTATAGGCCGTCACTTTCCTCCACCTTTTTGCATACCCAATTGTTTATGAATGATAACACGTTGACAATTACGACTAATACAAAATATTTCATGCTTTCCGATTTCCACTCACTTTGTTTCATGCCTATGCACTACTGTTTACTTCAAAATATATATATGCACTAATTAGATTGCAGAAGAATAACTGAGGTTTAATGCACTCACTCCATCTCTGCAGTGTGCTTCTCATTCCAGAAATCTTCACCTTTGATCACCGTACATAGTTTAATTCTAGATTGGAGTAGTTTATTCGATAGACCACAAAGTGACATAGTTTGGTTTACTGAATGACAATTTGACCACAGTTTGATGCTCATAATCACCACGACATAATAATAATAATAATAATAATAATAATAATAATAATAATAATAATAATAATAATAATAATAATAATGATAACACGACTTCCTAGACTCTGTTTCTACAGATCTATTGTTTGCCAATCTTTGATTTTCCAGGTAACATGATTTTGCATTCATCTCAAATTGGTGTCGAATTACTTGTGTCACATAGGTTAGGCACTGTCGATTCGATGAACAAAGTCTCAGTCACCAACATCTTCATCAAATTAATTGCCTATATTAGTCTTGATAATTGTTACTTTGTCCCACCCTATGCTCCAGGTATACACAAACATATTAAATATAAACTAAAATTTTCGTTGTTTCACATGAAATAGTTTCAAACAACTTGTTGTTCCTTCGTCCATTTAAACGTTCAGTAGGTGAATCATGCATAAATTCATTTCGTTCAAATATGAATTACGTCATTGTTTCAACTGCTTGTTCACTTTCACATCCATTTTCATAAATTGATACTTTTGTGAGTCTATGTGGTAGTTAGTGAATTAGACACATAAATATGAAATTAATGTAAACAAATTTCAATAACATTCATTATTCAGTTATAAAGAAAGTTGTAAAGTTCGTTGAATTTTTTAATAGTTTACCAGTTGTCAGCTGATTTCACATTTGAACAAACCACCTTTCACATATATCTATTCATGAGAGTTAAGCATTTGTTTCAATGAAGAAAGAATCATTTTGGAGGTTCACAGGAATTTCATTGATTTCAAGTTCATATTCTATTCATCGTAGACTAACATCAGTTAGAGAAGCAGTGAAAGTGTGTGAGCAGTAGACAGGTGTTCCATCCTAGCATGAGAATACTCTACACTACGTACATGGGATATTCAGATTTCAAGGCCAACACCCTACCACTGATTAGATTGAGACACGGTGGTTCGAATAGTCATGTGCTAACCATGGAGACTGAATATTCTAAATTGGATCTATGCAGGTGTGATGAGTGGGTACTGCTGACGAGGAGGAAACAATGGTTTTCAAACTGATGTCAGTTCATGATGAATACCAAATGGAAAGAAACATTTGTGAAATTGTGCAAAACAGTGGAAATTAGTATCGAAACACTCTTACGATGTTTCTCGAGTAGACTCCACAACAAATTAGTATCAGATCGGGAATGGCTCGACATAAGAGTGAAATTGACAGCTATTTTTATCCAAGTCTCGGAATTCTCAGCACTGCATCTTGAAGAGTTGAAGCAGGAAGAAATTCATATTCTCCAAGACTGACGAGTGGGAATACACTAACATTCACTGGATGAGTTGGAATCTGCTAACTCACACTTTACAACCTCAAGATTTGTAAGTAATAGTTAGTTCATGCTGAAAAATAATATGATAACAATCATTTCATCGAAAGTGCTATCATGGAGATGAATAATATTTTAGAGCTGATTCGTGTTCATTCTCGAAATGAATTCCTCAAAGATCTGGTGACTAACCGTGACCTGTATGAGCTATTAGATTCGCAGTGAAGATAAATGATCCCCCACCCCCCACCCCACAGCACATCCCCGTGATTACATTCAATGGGAAATCTGTACAATGAAGTGGAAATTTAGTGACTGAGGGATGACGTCCTTACAATCAGACGTGAAGTTAGTAGTCTTCTACTAATAACACTAGTAAGGAGTGTCAACTGTGTGTGAAACAACCGTCACATACTTCCCAAATTTGATTACTTCTCTACCTGGTTTTGATCTCTACCAAAAGTTACCTTGACAACAAAAGAATATAGGAACAAATACAAAACAGTTTTATTTTCGTGATGTTGATTCATTCAACTCCGTCACACCTGAAAAAGATACTAAGTGGAATGTGTTTCCAAATATGATGGTTTATCTGTTAGGAGTTTATGGTGTTCAATACCGACAGAGTCATAACATGAGAACGCATAATATGTTTAAACACCTTACTCAAATATTGACAGTATCGATTTA